TGATTTTCAATTTTAATTTTTTCTTTAACAACTGAAAACTAAAAATAGTTACAAAAAGAATTTTTCAGTTTTTAATTTTCAAAAAAAATAAAAACTGAAAACTCCAAACTATAGACTAAAAATTAAAAAGTGAAATCAGAATGGGCTCTCAACAAAATTGAAAAAAGAAGGGGCTTAATTACTGAATTCAAAGCAGGGCTTATTAACGCTATGAGGCCCAATGGATCCACATAAATATTTTTAGTGATATTATTTTTAAATAAAAACTAAAACCCACTATTTACAAGTTATCGTAGTAGTATTGTTATTTTATTTTATAAGGAAAAAGAAAGAAAGCAATGAACAGCTGCACATAAACTAAATTCAAAAAGGAATGAAATGAAATGAAATGAAGAGGAGTGGGAGACATAACGTTTAATTCAAGATAAAGGAAGAAAGGTAATCGGGTTTCCAAAACCAAAAAAAGAAAGAAAGGTAATCGCACCACGACGGCGGCGACGTGGCGGTCATTTAACGGAAAATAACAGACAAATCAGCCTCCAGATCAAGTCTTACCGCTGAGCTCCGACCAACCGTTGATGGAGGCAATCAGGAAGCTCAGAGATCAGGTCGCCAAGCAACAGCAGGTACTCTCTCTCGTTTGATTCCGAATTTGTATTTCTGTATGGATTTTGATATGAACATAATCTGCGTTGATTGCGAGATACTGAGATTGCTTAATGAAATAATATTTATATAATTGTTCGAGTTGAATTGGATCGATTCGAATTCGAATAGATTTTTCACTATTTCTGCTCTGTTTGGGGATGTGTTGGAGTGTAATGTTGCTGAATTTCTGAAATTTTGAGCTAGGCGTTGCTAATTACTTATCGATTTTCGGATTTAATTGGATGCTTAATTTTTACATTTTCGGAAAACTTCAAGCGAAAATGGCATATAATTCAACGTTCTATGCTTCGTTAATGCATAAGAGTTAGTCGAAGCTTTATCGAGTTTGCTTTTGATTATTTTGTGAACACCGTCAGGCTGTGTTCAAACAATTTTCTGGTGGCATGTATGGGGCATCGGATAATGTTGCCTCGGATGAAAATGAATTTCAACAGCATCAGAAACTCGAGAAGCTGTACATATCAACTCGTGCTGCCAAGGTTGCTACGCTTATTTTTTGTCTGTGCTTTAAACGAGCATCACGTTAGTTGTGTTACCTATCGTTTTTTGCTTCTTCTTTAACAGCATTACCAAAAGGAAATTGTCCGCGGAGTGGAAGGTTACATTGTGGCCGGTTCAAAGCACGTTGAAATAGGTATGTTGCTTGAAATGCGTTGTCATTTCTTGGGAGTTTGGATGTGAATACATGTTGGTTTTATCAGTTGCTATACATAATACTTTTTCAACAGGTACCAAGCTTTCTGAAGATAGCAGGAAATATGGTTCTGAAAAGACTTGCACCAGTGGTAACACACTGGCGAGAGCTGTACTGAGTTTTGGAAGAGCTCGAGCCCAAATGGAAAGAGAGTGCGGAGTTCTACTTAAAGCCCTTGGCACACAGGTTTAAGTTAAATTATTACTATACAATGCTTCATGTTAAGTAAAAATTAAATATTGCCAGGGCCGGTTTCATACAAATGGAATTTCAACTGACTAATTTCCGTGTGCATTTGATCATTTTGAAAGAAATTTACAGTAAAAATTGTTTCCATTTTCATGTGTGGTTCAAGAACTGGACTGCTTTTTGTGTTGTTATGCATCATATGACAAACTGGTTCACCGTTTCTTTCTATAGGTTTGCATAATAACTCTTTCTGTGCTTATCAATTTGCCTGTGTAGGTTGCAGAGCCTTTAAGAGCAATGATAGTGGGAGCGCCCTTGGAGGATGCTAGACATCTTGCTCAACAATATGCTAGAATGCGGCAAGAAGCTGAAGCTCAGGTATATGCAGTTTCTTGAAGCTTTGTTGTAATTTGGTTGTTGGTTTTTTTATTACTCCTTTAGATTTGTCTATATATACTAACTTCCACCGGGATAGGCTATAGATGTTTCCAGATGCCAGACCAAAGCACGGGATTCTGCAGGTAATGCTGATATTATCATGAAACTAGAAGCTGCTGAAGCCAAGCTTCAGGAGCTGCAGTCTAGCGTTGCAATATTGGGAAAAGAAGCTAGTGCAACTATGGCTGCTGTTGAAGGTCAACAACAAAGATTGACTCTTCAGCGGCTTCTTGCAATGGTAAGGGATTGCCTTCCCTTTTTTATTTAAGTATTAAGACCTTGGCCTGTTCTAAGACTGAAAAGGAAATTAATTTTGTAAACTTGTCATTTTTGGTCCCCATTCAAGGTTGAAGCAGAGTGCAACTGTCATCCAGAACGTTCTTCAGATACTTGATCAGCTTGAAGGCGAGGTATGAAATATCCTAAAGTTTTCCTTTCAGCATGAAAATTTCTTTTCCCAATTCATTTGGCTGTATATTATTCTAGTGTCTTGCTACTAAAAGCAGAGATCATTGACACTATTTGTTGGGACAGATTTTGTCAGAAAAGCAGCAAATTGAAGCATCGCATAGTCCGCATACAGAGGACACTATGCCTCCACCACCATCGTATGAGGATCTCAGCCGTAGCTTTGCTTCTGAAACCTATGATGAATTGACAGGGTTGAGGGACTATTTCTTAGGAGAGGTATCTTTATGCTAATGTTGTTGTATCCAAGTTTTAGTCTGTTCGACTCCTTAGTTTCTAGTTACTGTTTCTTTTCGCCTACCGCAGGTTATGTACACCTTCCACGCTGTAACTGATGTGGAGTTAAGTTTGTCATTCGGGGATTACGTTGTCGGCCGGAAGGTTCTGTCGTCTTTCCTGCTTGCATGCTTTCATCTTATATTCATGTTCGGATTTATTTCTTTCGTATTGAGGTTAAATTTTCATGTTCAGAGACGTCCACTCAGGTATGTTCGTCAATGCATATGCATTAGCACACCACCGAGTGCATTAGAATATGGATTTCAGTTTTGGGTGCTGCATGCATTAAAGTAGTTTGTTTGGTTTTGGTTATTGTTGCCGCTGAGAGCATGAGTGGTTTTCTGTAGTTGCTGAGAGTTATATTGTGAGCAGAATTCATACAGCAGCTTTCATATACGGCACATGTAGTCGGCAGCACTGCATTTAGAAAGAGAAAGTTATATTTTCTTGACTGTTTATTCAAAACTTATGTGTTGCATGTTCTGGGTTTTAAAGTGAGTCGGCATAAGAGTCTTTATTTGAGAAAAATCAGTTTTGTGTCCATGTGTTTTCAAAGAAAATATTTTAGTTTTTAATCACTGATTTTTCATTGTGCTTCAATAGAAATCAATTATGAGAATGTGCCTTGTGATTTTTGTAAGTGGTTGATTTCAAAAAATCATTACATTTCATACATTCTGCATGATCACGTTAATATCTTGCAAATTTCGAGGAGATAGTGATTGACGGCCACGTTAGTGTCGTGCCACTTCCACTTGAAGGCTAAAGAGAGATTGAGTAGCAAAGCGCAGTGAAAAAATTGCCTACTAGTATGTGGGTCTAGTTGATGAGTTTTGTAAGTCTTTTTGTACTCATTTTTCTTATTGTTTGTCCTGATTTAAGAGTCTGAGGATTTTCTCAGTGGTGAGTTTTATCTTGTTAAATCCTAACACATGTTATTTGTCTTTTTAATTACAAGTGTGTAGGATAATATTTCACTTATTTTCTTGTAGTGAACTCTATCTTAGACATTCATCAACAGTTTGGATTAAAAAACACAAACTCTATCTTATTTTCTTGTAGTGAACTCTATCTTATGACATAGGACTTTGCTACTATATTATTCAGTGCATTGATTAATTTGTAAAGCGCTCATTTATCCTAATTATAAAATACAATATGTTCAAGACATTAAAAAAATGGAAGTGTCTTTCAACAGTTTGGATGTCATGTATGGCCATATCCTTTATTTCCACCATTCTTATCAACCGGATGGGGAGAGATTGTCTTTGTCTCACAAACCCATAATGTGGCAATCGTCCATTAGAAAGGTAACGTACGTTTTGAAAATTGTGGCAAATATTGAATGAGTAATGACGCCTCTAAAAATAAAATTAAGTTATCTGAAAGAATCTCTCATAAAATAAAATAAGAAAAATTAATAAAAAGAACTTAAAAACTTTGAGTTTTAACGATAAGAACAAAATAAAAAGTAAAATGAATTGTACCAGGTTTGACTTTTTATTGTAAAAATGTGATTTTTCGTTAAAGTAAACAATATCGTAAACTTTTCGTTAAAATTTCCAATAAAGTAACAAAATAATCAACAAAAGTACCAGTATACCAAATTGGACATTTTTCGGCGTTGAAATGAAATATGAAAGGAGATCAAGTTGATATTATTCATCCACTTTTTTTTTTTTTTTGAATAAACGATATTGTATATATTAAGAAGAGGGAGTTGGCTAAGCCTCACAATGAGCTAGCAATAACATGGTTCAAATTCGCATTTGACGAGAATCAAACCTAAAACTTCTCACTTACAAGTAAAGAGAAATACTATTAGACTGTAACAATATTCATCTGCTTTTAAATAATGAATAATCAAGAAAAACATTGGATGGGGTCTCCCTCTCGTCACTTACCACTAGTGGCCATCACTTCCCTAAGCAAAAGAGATATTTCCAATTGCTTGACCAAAACAAGCATTGACTTGGCTGTCCATCCATCAATAATAGGTCCACATCTCAACCCAAATATAATGACGTCAAAAGAGAGGGGAAAATGAGAAGGAAACTCTGGAGGGTAGAGGGAAGGACAAGGAGAAAAGGAGAAGGGAAAAGTAGAGAAAGGGAAGGAGGAAAATGAGAGGAAATGAGGGGAAAATGGGAAGGAAACTCTGAAGGGTAGAGGGAAGGAAAAGGAGAAAAGGAGAAAAGGAGAAGGGAAAAGTAGAAAGGGAAGGAGGAAAATGAGAGGAAAATTTGGAGAATAGAGAAAATGAGTAGGAAAAAGAAGAAAAGCGGAAAAGAAGGGAAAATGTGAAGGAAGCTTAGGAGGGTAGAGGAAAAGAGGGAAATGCATAAAAATAAAAAATAAAAAATCATAATGTCTACTGCCGGAAGGGAGCAAAATGCTCCCAACTTCCCTTGTTTCTTACGTTGTAAATTATATTTCGTATAATGAGAAACCAATATTCCTACTCCGAGGATATAGACACAACTTGCCGAATCTCGTTACTATACAACAAACCTATAACTACACAACAATTCGATCAATCACCTTAAGTTCAACCATACATATACCAAGATTCAAGTTTTTATAAACTTTCGTGATGAAACTAACTGAACATTACAAGTGCCACATTATTATGTGGTTATATCAAGTTTTAAATTTTGTCTCATAATCACATCATCTTTAGGATAATCAATCTTGCAGTTGAATATATAAACCTTTGATATGGTGATATTGGAAACACTAGTTGGTGGGCTGATTGGTAGAAATGGTTTCAACAATTTAGGGACGAGAAATGAGCATTGAGCAACGATCAAAATATGTTTCCTTTTATCACAAAAGATGTTTGCGCAATTAGAAGTGCATTTTATCACAAAAAGATGAGCAACGATCAATATAATTGTTATTTATTTATAAAATCACACATAAAACAAGAAGTAATCTTTTCTTTTTCTTTTCATCTCTGCCACTAGCAACCGACCATGACTTACAGAAACGCTTTATGGGTCAACGGATGGGAACGACCCATTTTATAATTGTTTGCAAATTTTTCTGGAAGTAGATGGAAAGGACCCAATTACATATTTCCCCTGCTCACGGACATTTGCATTGCACCTAGCAAACACCAGTTTTTTTGTTTGAACATTGATCCACATCAATGGCTCTTGTGAAAACATCTCCAGGAACCTCCTCTGATTCCAACACTTTTCAGGGTTATAGCTACGACGTGTTCTTGAGCTTCAGAGGCGAAGAAACTCGCAAGACTTTTACCGACCACCTCTACACAGCCTTGAACAATGCAGGATTTCTTACGTTCCGAGACGACGATGAACTTGAGAGAGGAGAAGATATAAAGCCAGGACTGCGGAAAGCGATCCAGCAGTCACGAACTTCTGTTGTCGTGTTTTCGAAAGATTACGCATCATCCAGTTGGTGTCTTGATGAGCTTGTGCTGATCCTTGAACGCAAGCGGACCACCTCGGACCATGTAGTTTTACCAGTCTTCTACGATGTCGATCCGTCCCACGTGAGGAAGCAGACAGGAAGTGTTAGAAAAGCATTTGCTAGAAGCCAGAAAAATCAGTCACCGGAAAAGGTGGAGGGATGGAGGAGGGCACTTGCAGAGATTGCAGATCTAGCAGGCATGGTCTTACAAAATCAAGCTGATGGGTAACTTTCATTATCTCCATTTCTCTTCTCTTTCTTGGGTCAATTTGATGTATGATCCGTAGTGACCTAGATTTTTATATATTTATTAATTCAATCTCAGTAGTGAATAATAATCTCAATTTAGGTCAACTTAAAGAAATCACACTCAACTCAACTCAAGGATTAGTCATTTTCCATGTTAATCTACTGGTTTCTAGTTGCTTAAATATTTTTGAAAGCTGGTGTGGCAAAAAGTTAGGATGTGATCTGTAATGTATTTGTCTATAGTTCGTATAAATTATGCGATGTATTTCTTTTTTTTTTTTACGAAAACTAATGAAAAATGTTTGAGTTTTAACGATAAGGACTTAAGAAAACTAATGAAAAATGTTTAAGTTTTAACGATAAGTACAAAATAAAGGGTAAAATGAATAGTATCAGAATTGATTTTTTAATGTAAAAATGTGATTTTTCGTTAAAGTGAACAGTACCGAGAGCTTTTTGTTAAAAATTTCTTTTTTCTTTTTTTTTTTTTTCAATTTAATTTTGTCAGCAATCCTCTTTTTACTTAAATATTTTTGAAAGCTGGTGTGCAAAAAAGTTAGGATGTGATCTGTAGTGTATTTGTTTATAGTTCGTATAAATTATGCGATGTATTCCTCTTTTTTAGGAAAGCTAATGAAAAAGGTTTGTGACACACCCCGACCCAGAAAGTCCACTTGGACCCTGAATCGAGCTGTGCTGGCCGACACCTGGAAGGTGACGAAGCCATAAAATGTGATAGTGCATAAAAAGTGAATAAATTTGAATCTAAAAGTGTCTAAGTACCAGAGTGCGCTACGAGTGGGAGCGAACCCATTTCACACGCGATGTCAGAGCATAAGTAAGGTACAGTAGTGTGGGTAAGAATCATACCCTAAAAAATATCCATCAATACTAAGATTCGCCACAGATTCTTGTCGATACAAACTCAGCAGCTAAAACCTGGAAGGCACCAAACAGAAGGTGTGAGTAAGCAATAAAACCAAGTTTCCCAAAGTTACTACCTCTCTAAAAGTAATGCCCCTAAATGTAAAACCCGTATCGTTTTCCATAAGACAGTACAACATATATACATATATCCAAACCATACTCAGAAATGACCAAAACCACGGTTTGCCATCAAATCCACCATACATTAATAAGTAGGCCAAATGAACTAAATCAATACAAAGTGATATATCAGTCAGAGTCATCTAAAATGACATGTACAACTTATCCGTATCTCATCAATCATGGCTAGCATATAAGTCGGAGTCACCTATAGTAACCTGTACGACTTATCCATATCTCATCAATCCTGGCTAGCATATAAGTCGGAGTCACCTATAGTGACCTGTACGACTTATCCATATCTCATCAATCCTAGCTAGCATATAAGTCGGAGTCACTTATAGTGACCTGTACGACTTATCCACATCTCATCAATCATGGCTAGCATATAAGTCGGAGTCACCTATAGTGACCTGTACGACTTATCCACATCTCATCAATCATGGCTAGCCAATAGCTCAATAAGTATACCTGCACACGAGTCGGAACCACCTAAAGTGGTATGTACGACAGGACTGGGTGTAAATAAATACGCTCAAGTGCTAGGATCACGTGAAGACTGGGCGAATAATCGCGGGTCACCTACGAGTCGGAACCACCTAAAGTGGTCTGTACGACAAAACTGTGCACCTACCTTGAATCCAAGGTGAGATTAAGTTGCGGGAGGTGAACATCACGTGAAGAACTGTGCCCTGGCCACGGGCGGGAGCACTAACACCGGGGTGCAGGTTTATGAGCTCTCAATGCATCTCAATATAACCTGTGGAACTCATGGCAACCAGTACGACAGTATCGAAGTTGCCTAACACATAATTGTAGTCATGCTATAACTCAATCGATTCAACTAATACCATAAACTCACCTAAACTTACCTAGGTGTCCTGAGTTTACCTTTGCACTTGAAAGCATTCCTAATAATTATATGCAAGTAATATACATATGGATATATCATGATGCAATCTACTACTCAACCATGTCGTAGTATTTTCAATTATAAACAATATGGTGTGAAGTGTACAATCAGTAACGCCTTACTCCCAAACTACTTATTTTCAGGGATAATTATCCATGACAACCCAATTAACTCTAATTTAACTAACTAATTCACAAAACTAAAACTTGTCTTTACCAATTTCCTTCGCATTACTCAATTTCCCAAGCAAGGCTTTTGTCTCAAATATTTTATGGCTGCATCTAACGTCTCGTTAGACTGCCTACGTACCCTAGACAGGGATCAAGCCATTCGTAGTTCATATAGTACTTCAAGCATTCACAATAATTATATATGAAAGTAATATGCCTAATGAATTTAAAAGTGTCGATAGAACTCTCAATAATATGCACAATAAAAAGGAAAAGATCCACTCACCTGGAGTCCACGCTATACTTCTCTAGCGCACGCATCGAGGCGTCCTGAATGATCGGTCCCTGTGGCCAATTATCAAATCACATCTCAGAACTCTTATCCATAGAATACGTAATTCACATAAAACACAACCTCAACGACATTCTAAAATAGTTTGAGACCCATTGACCACAAGTCAACCGTCGATCAAAGATCGACGGTAGGGTTTACAACCCTGTATAACTTAACCCGGAAGATCCGCATATCAGATTTCCAATCCGCAACTCCCAACGATCCACAATATGTTTCTAGAATAACATATTAAAATTTCATTACGATCCAACGGTCAGATCTCCGCCAATTGCCTAAAACAAGTGGCCGTGAACATTTATTTTACTAACTTACAAATCCAATTCAGGAAGATCCATAAGTCGGATTCCCGATCCATAAATTCCTATGATCTTTAAATATTACGTGTTATAATTTATCCAATTTTGGTGACGATCCAACGGTCGGATCATAGATTCACATTTTTATCAAGTAACGTATCGTAACGAATTTAGGTTCCAACTATCAACCTACGTCATTCAAATGACAAAAGTGAATTCAAGACATTTGACATAGCCTAAAAATAGCATTGGCGGCCCACTGGCCACGCGCCGCCGCCGGTGGCGGTCGGCCGCCCCGACTCGCCGGAAAATCCAACTATTTCCAAAAATTCTCAAACTTCACAGAAATGAAGATCTCAGAGAGTGGAGTAACTTTCATACCTGCCACGAAGTCCAAAAGTGGACGGAAGATGATCAATTTTTCCCACAAAGCCGGCGGGTGCCTAAAACTTCCCGACGTCGATTCGTCGTCTACGGTGGTCCAACGGGGTCAAGGTTGGTTGGGTTTTGCTCCTGGGATGATGGGCTACAAAGCCCAAGTGGTGGCATCGGCCATCGCTTTGCCGATTTGCCGATTTGCCGGAAAATCGAAAAGGGTGGCCGGAGCACCATTGATTTTCGTCAACTTTCGTGGCCTCAAACCGTCTCATACCATGGTTAATCAAGGTAGTTCTTGGGTGGGTTTTATAGAGGGGAATGAGAGCTTCAAGATGGTGGTGGTGGCATTGAAAAACTCCACCGGAGTTGGCCGAAATCGGCCTTGGAAAATGGGTGGTCGCGAGTGGGAAAAACCCACGGGAAAGCTGGGATTTTTTTTTTCTTTCTTTCCTTTTTCTGATTGGGTTTCATCTTAAATAACCAATTTCTGATTGGGGATTTAATTTAATTAACACTAAACCTTGAATAACCAATTTCGAACGTCCGTAACTATACCGTTATAATCCGGACTCGCAAACGGCTTTCGCCTATGCGTTCACATCCACGAGTATTACGAGAATATGTTAAAAGAATAAGTCATACGTCTCTCTAGACGATGGTCAACAGAAGTCAAAGTCCTTGCTTCTAGGGAAATTTCGTAAATTCACGCTTTTAAAATAAAATAAAAACGTAAAATTTGGAACGGGTTGTCATAGTTTGAGTTTTAACGATAAGGACAAAATAAAGGGTAAAGTGAATAGTATCAGAATTGATTTTTTAGTGTAAAAATATGGTTTTTCGTTAAAGTGAACATGACTGAGAGCTTTTTGTTAAAGTTTCTTTTTTCTTTTCTTTTTTCAATTTAATTTTGTCAGTAGTCCTCTTATTTTTTTCTTTTTTTTTTCTTATTTAAACAAAGGCAATCAACATATGTTTTAATTATCTAATTTCCCCAATTCCTTTTTCATTTTGTTTGCAAAATCAAGCTACTGGTTTCCAGTTGCTTAAATTTTTTTGAAAGCTGGTGTGGAAAAAAGTTAGGATGTGATTTGTGATGTATTTGTCTATAGTTCATATAAATTATGTGCTGTATTCCTTTCTTCTTCTTTTTTTCAATTTAATTTTGTCAGCAGTCCTCTTTTTTTTCTTATTTAAACAAAGGCAATCAACATATGTTTTAATTATCTAATTTCGCCAATTCATTTTTCATTTTGTTTGCAAATTCTTAGGTATGAGTCAAAGTTTATCAAAAAAATTGTTAAAGTGATAAGAGACAAGTTAAGTCGCATGCCATTGAGTGTTGAACCAAAATTGATTGGAATTCAATCTCAAGCGGAACACATCAATTTGTGGTTACAAGATGGATCAAGTAACGTTGGTATATTTGTTGTGTATGGCATGTCTGGAATAGGGAAGACAACCATTGCAAAACATGTTTACAATTCAAACTTTAGAAGCTTTCAAGGAAGTAGTTTCATTGAAAATATCAAAGAAACAGAAGATCGACCAAATGGCTTAGTTCATATACAAATGCAACTTCTTTGTGATATTTTGAACGACAGAGAAGTGAAAATACACAGTGTTAGTGAGGGATTAATTAAGATTGAAAGGGCCATAAGCTTTAGAAGAGTTCTACTTGTTCTTGATGATCTTGACCAAATGGACCAATTAGATGCAATCCTAAGGATGAAAGATCATTTTTATCCGGGAAGTAAGATACTAATAACAACTAGGCGTGAAAGGTTGCTAAAGGTAGATCAAGTTACAGAGTTGCACAGAGTTCAAACTTTGGATTACAATGAATCATTAAAGCTTTTCAGTTGGCATGCTTTTGGCCAGGACAATACCATAGAAGAATACATGGAGCACTCAAAACAGCTAGTGCAACATAGCGACGGACTTCCATTAGCTCTAAAAGTTTTGGGTTCTTCTTTATCAGGGCAAAGTATAGGTGTATGGGAAAGTGCATTGGAGAAGCTAAAAGTTATTCCTGATGGTCAAATCATGAATAAACTAAGAATAAGCTATGAAAGTTTAAAAGATGACCATGACCGGAAATTATTCCTCCACATTGCTTGTTTCCTAATAGGAAGGAACAAAAGTTACATTGTTAGAATATTGGATGAATGTGATTTCTATACAACCATTGGCATTCAAAATCTCATTGATAGATGCTTGGTGACACTTGATGAACACGGCAAGGTGAAAATGCATGACATGATTCGTGCTATGGGAAGAGAAATTGTTCGCCAAGAATCAGAAGAGCCTGAGAAACGTAGTAGATTATGGCGCCATAAGGATTCTTTCCAAGTATTGAGGAAAAAGAATGTAAGAAACATGCCTTTTATGTCTATATATGTATTTCTTCTTGTGAAAATTATGCATAGTAATGTCTCTTTTTTTCCCTTTAGGGTACAAAAAAAATCCAAGGTCTTGTCCTGGATATGCGTAACCATCCTGCAAATAGTCCAATAAACACAAATGAGATAGTCTTGGAAACCAATGCATTTGCAAGGATGTGCAATTTACAACTACTCCATCTTAGTCATGTACGACTGGATGGATGTTATGCAGATTTCCCTACAGAATTAAGATGGTTGTGTTGGCTTGAATTTCCTTTGGATTCTATACCAATTGATTTTCCTTTGGAGAACGTAATTGTTCTTGAAATGCAATACAGTAGCTTGAGACAAGTATGCAAAGGAACAAAAGTATGTTACTCTATGCATTTCAATTCATTTTCCTTATTTTGTTAGTTTTTTATTTGTTGACTAACTCCATGTGTTAAAATGAACTACTATGTTTTCTTTAATTCGATGACTAATTTCTTATCTTAGATACTTATTTCATTGTTCTTTTTTCTTTTCTTTTTTTTCCTTTGTTTCCACAGTTTCTTCCATCGTTGAAGATCCTTGACGTCAGCCATTATCATGGCCTTAGTGAAACCATTGACTTCTCACTTTTCCTCAATCTAGAGGAACTGATTCTTGTAGATTGCACAAGCCTAAAGAATGTTCATGAATCCATTGGAAACCTGAAGAGACTAGTGTACTTGAATATGAAGGATTGCAAGAATCTTAGCATGCTTCCAAAGAACATGTGCATGCTTAAATCACTTGAAACGCTCATTTTATCTGGTTGCTCAAATCTTGATGAGTTTCCAGTAGAGATGATGAAGAAGATGGAGTCTCTGAAAGTTCTTGAGACAGATGGAATTCCAATAAGTGAATTATGGCCAGAAAGAAGTTCAGCTATGTTGAGTTCTTTTCCATGCTCTTTAGTAGAGTTAAGTTTGAAAGGGTGCAATCTTTCTGATGATGTCCTTCCTATGGATTTAAGTAATCTATTCTACTTGCGAAGACTACATTTAGATAAGAATCCAATTTGCAATTTGCCAGTTTTCATCAAAGGTTTGAGAAGGATCGATGAACTCACTTTCGAGGGTTGTGATAGGCTCGAATCACTTGTGGGGTTGCCGGAAGTACACCAATGGATAAGTATAGCCGGATGCATATCATTAAGAAAAATAACGTTTCATTCCCCTGAGAAATGTTGTCCAATATGTGTGGGTGACAACTGGAATCTTGTTGAGTGGGAGTGCTATTACAAGTTAGAGCCCATTGATAGAGTTGAAGTGGAAATTATCAAACTTTTGGGCTTGTGCAACTTCGAATCCATGCCAGCTGTTCGAATGCGTAATCCACACACATACAAGGATCCAAAAGAAGTCCCCGTCCAGGTGCGCCTCTCTTTCTCTCTCTCATAAGTCTTTTGTTTTCACAGAAATGACTGAGTAATGTTGTGATGATTGTGGCAAATACATAGGGACTATATCAACGTGGTATATTCAGCACGTTTTTTGTTGGGAATGAGGTTCCAGGCCGGTTCAGCTATAAAAGTACCAAGTCCTCGATATCTTTTATTGTCCCTTTACTACTTGCTAGTCACCGAATTCGAGGCTTGAACATCTTTGCTACCTATGCAAAGGAAAATTCAAATAATTATTTTACTATGCCTAGAATTGCTCCAATAATGATCAAAGTGAGAAACAAGAGCAAGGGTCTGAAGTGGATCTATAGCCCAGTATTCTATGGTATCCCAGGTGACGGAGAAGATATGATATGGTTGAGCCATTGGAAGATGGAGAATAAAACAATATTACAATGTGGAGATGAAGTAGTGGTTTCGGTAATAACCGGACCACATGACTTGTTTTGGGTAAAGGAGTTTGGTGTCGAGCTTGTGCAAGAGCACCAAGAAAAGATGAGTACCCAACACAACACCAAATCAGATCCTAATTATCCATTTGTTATCGGTGGAGATTTGAAGATGTGGAAGTGCATACCGGGAATATACTGTTGGAAATGTGCCCTAAAACCAATCATATGATGATACTTTACGGACATTTCAAACTAATGTAGTTTAAATGTAAAGGGCAAAGATTATTGTTTGAGCCGTCTCATATAAATGTTATATGCTTAAACGATAAGTCCAAGGAATATGTGATTGGAAGAATGCGATCTAAAGAAGTTAGATTCATGAGACCATTCTTTCGTTGACACATCCTAAACGTTCCTGATCATAGGATTGTCAATTGGGCATTGACAGTCCGTTAAGATCAGTACGTGCTATGTCTTCTCTCAGGGAGAGTGACTAGTCTCGAGTCATTGGTGTGTGTGACATCAAGACAAGTACGTAGGTGCTCAATAGAGAATGAGTTCACTGAACACGATCAACGAAGAGTTCTCATATTCATGTCACATGAGAACTCATGGTTGGGATAATGCAAATTAGTCTTTTGACCTGAGGCATCACAGTTGTCTTGTGGTTAGGTCCTTAATCTTTGATTATGTCAAAGTCACTCCATCAGGAGGGTGTCCACGGCATCGTTGGGGTTAAGCCACTTAGCCATGGAGGCAATTGAATGCGCAACAAGGGATCTCTAACCTTCAAACTGTTTGAGGGAGAATACTCTATGATATGATTAAGAATCTTTGGCCAAAGTATGAATGAGATTTAGGAATGTGTTCCAAATCACATTCAAGGTAATCATATAAGCACAAGACTCACATTGGATAGTAGACATGAATAAACTATCAAACCAAACAATGTGGTCAAGAGTATTGTATTAGAGAAAGACCGTATTGCATTTGTAATCCTAAAACTGAATAGGTTCTCCACCTCTTCTGATTAGCTTGGGTAACCATGACATGCTGCTAGGCGTCAACCATGGTTTGTGGAAGCCCTAAAAGTGTATTATCACTAACGGGAGAATTGAAAGTAAGTTTCAATTCACAATCGATTTGAAAGAGTTTGAATCGCCCACTGCCTCGCTAAAAGGAACCTAATGGATCGTACACCGTGTAAGGTAGAGATTGAAGATTCAACGGAGATGAGTAAGAATAATTAAATAGTTTAATTGTTTATGGCAAGGATTAATTAATATGATTATTAATCAAACGAATAAGTTCGTTAAAAGACCTCGGGATAGTTTTGGACCTTAAGGCCCAATGGGCTTCGAACGTCAAGTCCATTGACTTAAGTTGTATGACAACTTAATGAATAATGATTCACAAAGGCCCAAATAGCCCAATAAATCCCATATGGCCGGCCATTTAGAGGAGGGTAGTGAACTTGGCTTAATTGCAAGTTTGCCACTCCATTGTGAGGTGGTATAAAGACATCTTTATAGCCATTTCATCCTAAGGGTTTTCTTAGGAGTAAAGATGAGAACACAAACCTCCCTTTACTCTAAAAGAGGCCGACCACCCTTGAGGAAAACATCTAGCAATCTTACTTCCTCAAGGTCACTCATTTCTTCTACAATATGCCTTGGTGTGGAGACTTAGAGGTTCTCAATTTTGGGAACTTGGAGAAACCTTTTCATCCATCCAAATCCATGGATCTAAGATGCAAGGAATGAAGGCCCTCTCTTTGGGTGATTAGCCTTTGCTTATGCAAAGAGGAATCTACAAAGGTATTGATTTCTCAACTCACTTTGTTTTGAGTTGAGTCTTGGTTCACCTATCTACTAGGCTTTGAAGTTCATGGGTTAAGTTTTGTTTTTGAGTGCATATAAACATGATTCCGCCTTTTAATTGTTAATTGCATGTTGTTGATGTTGCTCAAATGAACTTGTTTTTCACAAATCTTCCTTCATATACTACCTTGGCACTTGGACAAGAGAAGATGCTAATGACATTGATATCCTCACCATGGACTCTGATGAAGAAGACACAAGTATGTTGTGTTGTTGTATTGCATTCAATTATACTCCATCCAAACACTTCCAGGTGTGTTCGTATTCATTTCAAAAACATTTCCAATAAATTTTATGTTATTTGTATGTTTTTCAGACAAAGAAGGGCAAAAGGATGAACCTGATTACACAATTGCAAAGACGAGGGCTGCTAGCAATAACTGTAGCCTGAGAGGCTGGAAGGTGCGCCTCACAGCTGTTGGCTTCTTTTTCGCGCTTGCTCTAGTAGGTTGGTCCTCCATCTCCCAAAAAAAGAAGCGAGTCAGCGACACTCGTCCACAAGCTCACCATGAGTTTGTAATTTGACTTGATATAGATATATCTTTGCATTCCTTGCTCTCAAGATGTTTTCTACCTTCAAAACTTCAGGTTCAGAGCTAAGCACTCTTAACCGCTTGAGTTATAAAAACCCCTTGCAACTAGATACCGAAGTTCAAATGTGTTCAACACCATCAATTATAGCATAAAATACATCAAGCATTAGTGATACTAGCAGAGTAGCAGTAAATAAGTAAAACAAAAAAATGCTTCTACACATGGTAAGGGAAAGACTTTGACATAGGTATCTTTAGCAATAACGGGCATTTTTTTTGGAGGTGGGGTAAGTGACGAAGTTACAAATCGTAATTGTCGTTTACAACAAAATCATTCTTAAAAACTCGGCTCCCCATTGAAATTGTGTAAATTGCATGAATATCAATACAACATATATTAGATAGAATAAATATCAAATAAATTAACGACAGGCAATTTCTTAACATGAGATCCAAGGACTTTACAGTTGGTTCATCCTTGCATCGCTCTTACACTACAGAAGCTGGTTTCTGCTTCTTCAACCTGAACAAATTATTGAGGTCAAGAATTATAGAAGGAACGGCCATAGTCTCTGGAGCTATGAAATTTACTATCTTCTCATGAACATTGTATCTGCAAAAGCATAATGCAATAAGCATTCAACAATCTAACCTAGTTTGCTCAACAGATGCTCAAAGATATTCCAAAACAAAGTCACAACAGTTTCACATAGGGAACCGAAGAATCTATTGATACCTTATCTTGCAACTCTTAGAGGCTCTTCTGTCAACAATCTTCCTCTTCTAAGCATGCAACTTTTTAAAGAATAAAAGGCTTGTCTCTACGAATAATCAAATAGTGCAAAATCATAATCAATAATCAATAGAAGTTCAGGATCTATTAGGTTCCAAGCCCACTATTGAAAATCATGTTCATCCACTCTACACATCCAAAGCAGCAAACTAACTAGGATACCAAGTTGGGAGGATACAATCATTAACAATTTCAAAAGCTTTAAATGTAATCTGAATGCATGTGTTTTGAACTACAAGAAATCTTATAGATTGGGTAGACCGTATAGTATATCACATTCAAATGCAATTATTCAAGTAGATGAAGTATGAGATGCCCTAATTGTTTTACCAGAAGATGCTGGATCAATTGTTGGCAAAACTCAAAGTTATCCAAAAGTTCGAGGTCAGCATAATCTTGTGCACCAGCATCACATTGTGTCTCCTATCAAACTAAAGGACTAAAATTACTCAATTTGTGCAAATAGAAATATAAATTTTATAACACATCAAAGAGATAATTAAAGCGTACCTCATAGGCTGCACATCCAAGTGGGCAAACAAAACAAAATTTTAAATAAAGCCAATGGCGCATGAAGAGTATTGAAACACTCACGGCCCTTATTTTGAAAAATAAAACCTATTTCATGGATATTACAAGAGCCATTATTTTGAAAAACACACCTTTTGGTTCTCTACTACTTGACTTTTAAGAAGATCTTCGTCCTTGTGACGATTCAAATTCTTTAAAATATCTCTGCGACAGAATAAACAAAACCAATCTAGGCCAAAATTGACTTATTCGATGTGATTATGTTCACTGATTTTTCTGTTCACATGTTTACCCCTACTTGCCATGTAGTTTTGGGGGTGTTCTTCTCTTTAGAGCATAGTGCTCTTCTCTTTACACACAAGTTTTAATTTTATGCTTCTTAAATTAAGAGACCATTTGATAATCATTTCGTTTTCAGTTTAAAAATTTTAAAAACTAAATGGAGATTTCAAAATTTGGCCTAGAATTTTCTCTTTTGATTTTCAATTTTTTTTTTTTTTTAACAACTGAAAACTAAAAATAGTTACAAAAAGAATTTTTCAGTTTTTAATTTTCAAAAAAAAAAAAAAAAAACTGAAAACTCCAAACTATAGACTAAAAATTAAAAAGTGAAATCAAATTGGGCTCTCAACAAAATTGAAAAAAGACTGGGCTCAATTACTAAATTCAAAGCAGGGCTTATTAACGCTATGAGGCCTAATGGATCCGCATAAATAACTTTTGTTATTATTATTTTTAAATCAAAACTAAAACTCCTTATTCATAAGTTATCGTAATAGACTTGTTATTTTATTTTATAAGAAAAAAGAAAGAAAGCAATGAACAGCTGCACATAAACTGAATACAAAAAGGAATGAAATGAAATGAAGAGGAGTGGGAGACTAACGTTTAATTCAAGATAAAGAAAGAAAGGTAATCGCGTTTCCAAAAGCAAAAAAAGAAAGAAAGGTAATCGCACCACGACGGCGGCGACGTGACGGTCATTTAACGGAAAATACCAGACAAATCAGCCTCCAGATCAAGTCTTGAAGGGCACAACTCTGAAAAATCGAGACTACCTACCGCTGAGCTCCGACCAACCGTTGATGGAGGCAATCAAGAAGCTCAGAGATCAGGTCGCCAAGCAACAGCAGGTACTCTCTCTTGTTTGATTCCGAATTTGTATTTCTGTATGGATTTTGATATGAACATAATCCGTGTTGATTGCGAGATACTGAGATTGCTTAATGAAATAATATTTATATAATTGTTCGAGTTGAATTGGATCGATTCGAATTCGAATAGATTTTTCACTATTTCTGAGCTGTTTGGGGATGTGTTGGAGTGTAATGTTGCTGAATTTCTGAAATTTTGAGCTAGGCGTTGCTAATTACTTATCGATTTTCGAATTTAATTGGATGCTTAATTTTTACATTTTCGGAAAACTTCAAGGGAAAATGGCATATGATTCAACGTTCTCTGCTTCATTAATGGATAAGAGTTAGTCGAAGCTTTATCGAGTTTGCTTTTGATTATTTTGTGAGCACCGTCAGGCTGTGTTCAAACAATTTTCTGGTGGCATATA